CCTGGCAGGTGCCATTCCTCTCCTAGGACAGTCTGGCTCTTCACCAGTCCCTCAAGGTATAGGCCAAATGTCACCCTCTGGAGAAGACTCTCCGTGACCCTCCACCCTTCCTGGGCCTCTGTCCTGAGATGACCCAGGTCCTGTGCACACACAGGTGTTACGGTGCTCCATCTACCTGGCCTCTCCCACCCCGCTAGACATGAGCATCCCAGGCACGGAGAACAGCCTTCATAACAGGAAAGAGAAAGAGAGAAAAGAACCAGGTGACCCCGGCGAGGCACAGCCACCTCTGGGCCACCAGAGCTTCCTCCTCCTCCCACAGTTCATCACTCTACATCCACTAGCCAGAGAACAGGGGGACGGGAAGAGGAAAGGAGGGGCCCAGGCAGACCACCGCCCTCCCTCAGGCTCACTTCCCAAACGTGGTCTGGACAGTTCTCTCTTGAACTTGAAACTGCAAACACTCACACAGCAGCCAGAGAAGCTCCTGTTTGTCAAGACCACGGCAGACAAAGGGCTCCCACTGCTGACACGGGGCTGGGGCCCAGTCCTGGAGCTGGACTGCCCGGCCCATCACGGCCCTGTGTCCTCTAACCCGCTCCACGATCCCCTCAGACAGCCCCGCCGGAGGGCCCAAAACAGCATTCAGCGACCTCCAGCACAAAGGAGGGCCACCCAGACATATGGCAAAAATCATCTCAGGACTTCATGCGTGTGGCAAAGACACAGAAATCTTCAGTATTCAGCAGCAGTAAAGAAAACACCCCAACAATAGGTGAAAGGCATGAACGGGCAATTCCCCAAAGGAAGAAAAGGCCTATAAATAAGGCAATTTTGGCAATAAGTAGCAAAAGCCTGCAAAGTATTCATGCCCTTTGACCCAGAACTCCCCGCCAGGAATTTATCTTAAGGAAATAAAAACATGTGCTGAAAGATTTACGTACCAAATATGTCCATGGTGGTATTGTTTATAATTCTGAGAAGGAAATAACTCAGTATCAATGATAGTGTAGAACCGCACGATGAAATGTCATATAGACACTAAAATTCATATTAAAAAAGAATATTTAATGGCATGGGAAAATGCTTGCTACACAATAAGTGAAACACAAAAAAGCAGGTTACAAACAGTATGAACGACAAGATCCACACTTTGAAACACACACACGAGGGAGGAAAGCGTGAGTACCAAAGAGCTAGCAACGGATCCGTAGGTGGTAAGACAAAGGCCCAATTTAATTTTCTTTATGTTCCCTAATCTGCAGTAAGAAAATATTTTTATAATCAAAAACATTTTTGATTTCTGCCAAATGGGAATATCAGCTACAAAACCAAGACTACAGCCCTCCTCTTTAACTTTTAAAGTCAAAAGTGGAGAAAGTAATTTCACCTCTGCAAATTCATTACAACGTATTATTCACAAAGCAAGTTCCACTTGCGCTTGTAGCTATGGCCTGAGAAGACTCAAAGTTCCCTCGAACACAGTCCGTACCCATCGAGGCAGTTAAGGAGACATAACCTTAAACCTTCTAGACCACACCAACGAGACAGGGCCACGAGAGTTAATATGTTGTTCGCACTGACAATGTCAAATGTACATTTCTTTCTATTCTCACTTTTGACAAAAGTTTTTCATTCTTCAAACTGAGTGTGCATATTTCTAAAGATAATTCTAATTTTTAGTAGTCAGGCCATGCTTATCTAACACAACTGCCACAGAAGGCTGACATCTCAAAAACAAGGCTGAGTGGGGAAAACTTATGGGCGGTGTGCTACCATTTATGGAAGTGTGGCCTGAAGACCACACAAAGCAGTAAGTGCACATGTGTTCACACACATATACACATGAGCAAACTTCCAAGAGCTCATGGAAAGATTCGTATTACTTTTGTAAATCTTTTTTTCCATGAACTTTCTGAAGTACCCTCATGTGTATGGCATGAACATAAAAATGTGAACTGGACATCGCCAAACTAGTGACTGGATTTAGTAGAGGCACACTGGGGACTTCTATCTTAACAGAAAAATTTTATTTCTTAAAACAAAAAAAGGTCTCAAGCAAATAAGGAAAATTTCACATACGTCCATATTTATTTTGAGTGACAGTACACGAGTGTTCATTTTAACCATATGTACTTTTTTATTTTTAATTTTTCAAAGCAATAAAGGAAAACAGAAAAGAGCTCACTGAAGATAAGGCACCCTAGGCTGTATTTATTCTGCCGGTTCACTGGAGATAAAGAACAATCTCCTGGGTCCATACTGGCCATGGCTGGAGACCAGAAGTCAGAGAGCTGAGTTCAAGGAATTCGTAAAAACTAAACTGTGTGTTGTTCTTAACCTCTAAGTCTCAGCGGTCTCTGGTCATCATGCGGCTGTGGAATTTCAGGCCACCCCCTTGACTTGACAGACAAGAGCTCAGGAAGCCCAAAGGAGAGCTTCCTTGTGAAACAAGCCCATGCTCTTCAGGAGAGGCCCTGTCCTTCCAATTGTCACCGCTCCACTGTGCTGCAAGGAAGGAGGGGAGGCTGGGAAGAACAACAGTCTCCTGGCAGACAAGACCCCGGCTGGAGTGTGCAACCTGTCGTGGCTACCAAAAAGCCATGGGCACGAGGGACCCCCGCCCATGCGGGGGCCGGCCTCCCACTCTCCCCAGCTACCCAAGTAAGGAACAAAGTTGGTCTCACTTCATTCCAAGCCCTTACCCCTTACAACCTTCAGGGCTACTTTCCAAAAGGGAGGCTGGGCAGCAGTTGTTTTAGCAAACATTCTTGAATACAGTCCCCCTTTACAATAATAACCGATTATGTTAATGCTACAATGGTAGGCGGGAGGGAAAAGAGGCAGGATACGCAATTGTAAATATGGCCTGATCACAATGGCATAAAACAAATGCTATTCACACCAGAACTGAAAGGAAACACTAAAAATGTTAACAGTGATTGTGTCGAGATGGTGGGCTCATGTGCGATTCTTCTTGCTACTTATTTATTTTCCAAGCTGTTTATAAAGAGCACGTATTATTTATGTGAGGAGAACTTAGCTTTATTTTACCATAAATCGGAAGGAAAAAACACACAGCAGCACCCTGTCCCTGCATAATGTGTCAGCCCTGAACGCAGGCCCCTTGCCAGCTTTTTCTCCCAGCAGGACTGAGAGGCGGTGGCTGCTCCAGGCGGAGGCAGGTGCTCTGGGCAAACGTTTACTTGGCTCGCTCTGAGCCAGGACTGTGGCTGCCAGCACACCCCAGCCCTGCACTCGAAGAGCTCAGTGCAGGAGCAGGGCCAGGATTCAGGGTCCTCTTTCGTACCCTAAGTCTTCCCTGAGCCTGGACGGGCCATCTTTTCCTTCGTGTGACCATTTCCATCTTCTGGAACTCTACACAGCACCCCACGGCAGCAAACCATCCTCAAACCAACATAGTCTCAAGTGGGTGTTGAGGGTTTTTTGCACAGCCCTGACCTGACCCTCAGAGCTGCTGTCACCACCAGCGTGAGTCCTACAGGCCAGCAGGACTGGAGCACATCATGGCCCAGCAGCTTCACGGTCCTCACAGACAGCTGCAGAAACCTCAGGCTGAGACTTTCATCGCTGCCACTCGAGAGAGGTTGCCGCCTCCCAGCCACACCTGGCACAGGAGATACACCTGTCTACTGTTAAGCCACTGGCTCTGGCCAGCCTTGAGAGCCATGCTGAATCCTGATTTTCTGTCTCTCTTGTGTTCACATCCTCCCCGGTTCTGATTCATCCGAAACTTGGTAAACAGGCCTGCATCAGGTAACTGTGGAAAGTGCTGACCTTGACAGAGACAGGGACAGAACTCAGTCTCGTGCCTGCATGCCTTGCTCTACCCAAACAGCCCGTCCCCTCCTCTCCTTCCATTGACTTTCCAAACCTGGAAAACACAGTTGCCCACCAAAACTCCACTCAGGTGTCACCTCCAAGAAGCCTTCTCTAAATCCCCACACAGACTGGGTTAGGGGTCTTTAGCACAGTCTACTTCCCCTAGCACTAAGCACAGTACTGAAGCATCTGCTCACCATGAATGGCACCTGCAGACAGGGATTATGCCCTGAGCACCTGCTGAGGAGCCAACACAGCCACCAGACCCCTCATTACATAGGCTAAGTGCACCAGCGGCACCACTGCCTTTGCCCAGCTTCCCCTGCATGTGGCTGTCACAAGGGAGCCACTGGCTCAAATGCCCCTGCCTACAGCATGCCTGGCCCTGGGTGTGGCTCCCCTTAGATAAGGAAAGGAACCTGCCTCTGCCACCCAGAGCCAACTCTCATGGGGCTACCAGACCAGTCAGAGCACCTAGAGCTTCACCTGGGGTCTCAAGAAAAATCATATGGGGAAAAAAGTTGCACTGCTAAGAAAACCAGGGCTCTGAGGTGCACAGTTTCAGTCCAGTTCCCATCAATGCTGGCCACACAGAGATCATAAACACCATCAAAGATCCCCACCGACTTTCCCAAGGCTGGGATGGCAAAAGCACTCTCTCATCAGGTCCGCTTGTCTGCCCATCGACTGTCCCGCCGTCAGACACAATGAGCCCCTGAAAAGTGGACACTGCGCACAGTCAGCCAGATGCTCCTGCCTGCAACCTATAGGCATGCAGGTTACATGCATGCCCCTACATAGCCCTTCTGTGGTCCCTTCTCTCCTCCAAACCTTGAATGGCTCCCATACAAAGAGTCCCTGGGCTGGGGGCTGCTGATGATATCCATGTCAGGGTCTTCTCATGAAGCCTGTTTCCAGCAAGTCTCCATCCGACCACAGGCCTAGGGCCTCAGCACATGGCCCGATGCTGCAAACAGCTCCGAGAATGTTCACTGAACAAAGGAAAGCCATGCAACATCTCACCCTTACCCCAAAAAGGGTCTGAAAGAAAGCACACCCAGCAGATGTCTAAACCTGAACCCCGCTTCCTCCCAGCTTCCTGTGGGGAAACCGCATGAGGGACAACAGCACCAGACACACAGCAGAACTGCCCTTACCTGGTAGTAGGTCTTAATGTTTCTCACCAGGATGGTCAGGTTCTGAATGCGAAGGTTGACGTCGTTGTTGACGTGCTTATTGATGCGTGGGTTCGTCGGCCTGGGATCTCTAGAGGAGAAACACGAGAACGGAAATCACACCTCCAATCCTCAGGGACTGTGAGGCTGTGACAGCGCGGTCCAAGTCAAATCCTAACTCTGCCTCTGCCACGCCGGGACCATGGGTGAGCCATGTCACCTTCCCGCTCCCCACCTGAGCACCTGGCTCACCACAGGCCCCTCCATCCCCACTGCTAGCAGCACCCATAAGGGACAGCCACGTGTCATCAACGCAGACCCAGGAAGTTATGCCGAATAAAAATCATAACCTCCCCAGAAATATATTTCAAAATTAAAAGGGTTAAAAGAGGAACAAAGCAAAATCAGTGAAATATCAAGAAAGAAAAAGGAAAAAAAAAGGGGGGGCACATTTTCTGACTGAATAAACCAATAAAATCATAATGTTCCACTTAACATGGGTTCCCTCTGTCACCCGACTGATCTTGAGCTGGTCCTGCCTGTGATTTACAATCCAGGGACACAATTCTACCTTGAAAAACTGACAATCAGTGACACTATATGGCATACAATGCACCCTATGAGAAATGCTGAGACACAAATAATTCATGTGTCATTCATCTTCCAACCTCAGGCTAAGTCAGTTCTGGTTGTGATGAAACTAGAAATCTACATCAAGTGATTTCTAATTTCACTCATCGATATACAGGACATTTCTCAAAATTCTCAGTGTTGCAAATGCTTCCTATTAGAAGACTGCACACTGAGTGGATCAGAGGTGGCTTCTGCCCTCCCATGCATGGCTTTTCAGAACAAAGGCCTCCCTCCCTTTCAGCTGTCCTGAGACACTGCAAAGGATGTCGAACTCAAGGGAGGGCTTGTCTTGACAGTTTCATCTGTCATCCAAGGCCAATGATAAAGGGGCTGAGCCTCATGGGGGCAGGTGTGGGGAGTTGAGATAAATCTCAATACCATCCAGCTCATTCAAAGCCAATAATTAATAGAAAATTAACAAATAAAAAAAACCCTTACAAATCAAAATGATTTCAAATGTCACTGGAAGTACAATGTATTTTGTAACACAAGCTGTTTAAAGTTCAACCATTAAGAAAATATTTGATATATACACCTTGAGTCCCTATGCTGTGGCATTGGTATGCAAACCCTTTTACACTTTACGTGCAGTCATCAGCCAGGAGTTTTATTCAGTTATCCTACAGCCCCTAAAATAGTCATGTGGGTATCTTGGGGCAACCAGAAGACCCCTTTTCAATGGTCAGGTGACAGCACTGCTTATTGTCCTCACATGGAATGGAGTCTGGCCAACTCATTTATATATGTTTCTCTTGAAGCCATTCGTTACCGAAAAAATAAAGGTTAACACTTCTGTGGAAATTAATTTAGGAAAAGAGGAGGCATTCAGAGTTTAAACTGCAAAGGCATTCTTAGTGACAGACATGTTCCTAGCACTACAAAATAATTTATCTTAAAGGTGCAACTCTCCTCCCTTTATTATAGATACCTTAAGAGATGAGAAGCAATTTCGTAGTGACAAATGTGCTTCTTAAAATAGCAGAACTTAGAGAACATGCAGGCTTTTTCTATTTTATGGTTATTATATTCCCAGCTTTCATTTAAGTCAGATGGGACCACCCCAGCAGTGCCAGGAGCCTCATTATACACTGTGGTTGTCTGCAGCACGTGCAAAGGCACGGCACACACCGAGGGTCAGGAACCTGGATGTCCCTCCCATCACAGCAGGAAGCCTGTGGCCATCCCTGCTTCTGCTCTTCCCAGTCTGGGAAGAAATAGCTAATTGAAACGACACTCCAAAAGAACCCTGACATTTACTGTACTATTAATTACATAAATCCTCATGATTATTAGTACTCCCTGCTTTAAGGCTGTCTGGGTAAAGAGGGGTTATCAGGAACAAATAAAACAACAGTCCCAACTAAGGCTAAGGAAGGCATACATCAGTCTCCACTCTGCCCAGCACCACCATAACTCCCACCTCTCTGTGCTGCAGGAAATGGGAGTCAGGAGACAGGGATTCCAGTCCAGGTCCCAGGACTGGCCAAAGTTCTCTGGGCCTCAGTGTGCTCATCTGCAAAATGGCAACAGGGTCCTTCTAGACCTAAAAGGCTATCATTCTGTGAAGCCCAGATCTACATTAGCAAACTTGGACTGTACTTGGTTCTAACATTCCAGAAAGACTTATTATAATCACTGCACAGTGGCATTTCCCCAAGGCTGTCATTAAGAACAACGATCTTCCTTACATTTTAGCCCTAGGACATAAAAGCCCTGTGGTCTTGCAACAGGATGTCAGAGAACAGGGGAGAGATGTGGCTGTGTCATAGCTGATCCAAACTTGGAGAGTTCCAAGTCCAAAGTGTGGGTCCCCGGGGCTACCTTTTCATAAAAACATCTAGCTAGAAAAAAAGGAAATAAACTCTTGCTAGAATTTTAAAGAGAGTCATGACTTAGGTTTCTAGCAATCTTGCCCCCATCCTTTAGGAAAGCCACCCTCAACTTTTGGTCCCATTCCAAAGACTTCCTAAATTTAAAACTGAATCAAGAAACTATGTATTGATACAGACAGAAGAGATGTCCAATGTATCATTGGATAAAAAAAGGATGCTAAAAGGATGCATGATCCTGTATTTGTACTAAAAAACACTAAGGACATATATTGATATATACCATAGACAACATCGAGAAGGCACCGAAACATTAACATCGCTACCTCTACATGGTAAGATTATAAGCAGTTTTTATTTTGCTCAGCTGTATGTTCCTATTTTCCTACAATGAATTTTTTGTGTAATTTTTAAGGACTCAAAGCTCCCTTTAAAGAATGTCATATGCTACTGCCCAAAAAAGAAATGACTTAAGTTCACAAGCAAAAATCTGTTGGTTCCAACATTTTTGTGCCAACACAAACTCATTCAACCAACAAGTATTTGCCCTCTTATCTTCAGCTTTCACATCTGCAAAATGGGGACATAGGGGCCGGCCCGGTGGCGCACTGCTATAGTGCGCCGCTTGGGAGCGCGGTGGCGCTCCTGCCGAGGGTTCGTATCCCACATACAGACCGGTTCCCGCTCACTGGCTGAGCAAGGTGCAGGCGCAACACCGAGGGTTGCGATCCCGTTGCCGGTCCCGGTCCGGTACGGGCGCGACACTGAGGGTTGCGGTCCGTTGCCGGACACGAAAAAACAACAAAAAGGAAAAAAAAAAATGGGGACATAAACTCCTCTTTGAGTGCACTGAAGGAAAATATCATCCTTTAAATGCTTTTTAGAAGTGGAAGAAATACTCCTATTGGCCTGAGGATGTTTCTAACCTCTGAGTAATTAATACATTATCCTGAATTTTGTGGCTAGCACCAGAGGTCAGAAAGGAACCTAAACAAAGCAGTGTTGAATTTACCACAGGCCTTGCAAAGGCTCAGCTCTCAACTCTAGTCTCAAGCGCCCAACTGTACTCAGCAGCCTCTGCATCAAGTCAGACGGTGCCCACTCTCATAAGTACAGATGTACACCCACAGGTGCACACAGGCACGTGTACGCACACATTCTGCAGGCAAGTGTACACACTCATACACACACAAACCCAGCTCCGAGCCACACTCACACAGCAAAAATGGATATTTGTTGCACATTTTCTATATGCATAATCTTATCCAATCCTCCCAAAATCTATAGAATACCATTCCCTTATCACACACCAGAAAATTGAGGCTTAGAGAGTTTAAGTAATTTGCCCAACTTAACAGAAATAGTAAGTGGTGGAGTGGGGATTTCAACTTGTCTGCCTTGTCTGTCAAGGCTCTTAAATAATTTTCCTACCAGGCAGTGAAAGATGTGTCCAAAGACACCTTGTTTTCCCGTGGGTACAGGAGGTACCCAGAGAACTTGTGTGCACAGAGGAGCTATTCAGCAGGTTTTCCCATGCCTCTGCATCCAGGCCACTTAATGCCACACTTTCATTCAGGAATTCCAACCTGGGCCTCCCCTGAAAGGTGAGCCCACAGGGCTTTCCTGCTTCCAGTTGCTGATGTCACCGGGAGACCAGGGCCAAGAGACTACACCACAGCCTTCTACGGTTGCCAGAGACAATGGCCAGGTCCAGCCACCTGACCCCCCAGCCAGCTGCCATATGGCTCTGGAGTGTCAGGTAACATGCCTCTTATCTGAGCTCCCAACCCAGTTAGCAATACGGCCCTCCACCCCACCGCAATTTCCTCAGGTCCTACCAACTTGGGAAGAATTTATCAAAACAGGCGACAGTCTGGGAGCTACTAGCATGGGAGACAAGGCAGAGAAGCCTTTTTACTCACCTGTTTGTCAGCCTGACATGTCTCTATTTGGCAGAAGTAAAATCAGAGGCTCAAACGAAGTACAGAGTTAGATGTGGGGCTAGGACTTGGGTTCCAGACAGTCCAGTTTGGCCCCGGACTTCCCAGAGCTAATATTGAGAATTATGTGATAATCTAGAGGACTAAGAATGTGGGGGGAAGGTGGGCTAGGAAAAAACAAAAACAAAAACCTCTTATGGGGAGGGAGCCTCCAATCCTTTCTGGATTAAGATGGTGCCTACATAAGTGAATAACTGATCCCAACACCCATTAAGGGGCAGGTGCTGAGCTAAATGCTAACACATCACCTCACTTACTCCCCACAACCACTTCCAAAGGGAGGTACTTTACTTGCCATTTTACGGATGAGGAAACTGAGGCACTGAGTGACACGTGCAGCATCATATTGCTGGTATGAGGGAGACCTAGGGCTTGAACCCAGGCTGGTTACCTAGATTGTCCAACACTGGGGCTGGGACTTTTTAATTAAGGCAACTGTCACACAAAGTGAAATGCGTATATCCTAAGTTACAGCTTGCAGAGTTTTGAAAAATGAAACACGTTCCAGTGAATATACAGACCATTCCAATCACCCCAAAAGTTCCCCTGTGCCCCCTTTTCCAGTCAATCCCCACCCATTTGCAGAGGCAAACACTATTCTGATTTCTGTCACCTGGAGTCAGGTTATTCTGATCACCCAAGCAGTAAACCACTCTCTCCTCTCTTTCCTTCTTCTACAAAGCCACCCACCCCACTTCCCCATGGTCCCCTCCTCTGTGCCAGGCCTGACCAGAGGGACCCAGAAGCACGGCTTAAGGCCTTAAGAGCTGCAAACTTGCCAGTTCCCACTTACGGAATGATTACCTTGGCCTATCACAGAGGAGAAAACGACATTTAAGATTGCCAAGGGAGGGGAGAAGCCCTTCAACTGAGTTTAGCCATGGCCAGATGCAAACGAGTGATGAGCTGGCATTTCTCAAAGGAATGGCCCAACGGGCTTTCCTGATTTACAAGCAAGTGGTAAACGCTTCAGGAATTCCAAAGGTCAGGGAAGAAAGAGAAACAGTCCCAGGGCTTTTGTTCTCCTCCGCCTGGATGTAGAAGCTGAATGAAAAGGCTGCGGATACTGCTGGTTTTTTTAATTAAACAGTCTTGGGCTTGGGTAAGGACAGGTTGAAGGTTCACCGGAATCTGGTAATTTTGGGGATCTAACAGAATGGGGGGGAGTTGCCAGAGCTCGAATGTGCCACGAGACAGCCCCAGGAAAACTCATTTTCTTCAATGTTCTCCAAGAAGTGCTGCCAAAGCTGACAACAGATTTGTTTTCTCAGATCTAATCAAACGCGGAAGCTCGGTAAGATTGGTTGTGCCTTTTCTTTTAAACATTAGGACTGTGGTGTCTCTTCCACAGCATGACACCAAATGACTTATTAAAATAAAAGCAGCAATGTTCTTGGGAAATTTTTTAAAACAGACCTTTTTAGGTAGAATCTATTTAAACCACTTTCTGGATACATAAAGCAAACTGTTCCTCCGCCTTGGTGGGCCACAAACGAAGCTGATTCACATTAGCTAATGGATTTATGCTCAAGATGACAACGTGCTCAGCTGTAGGTGAGGTGAGCGTCAAGGCACTGATCCACAGAGAACATTAGGATGTTTTATTTTGCTTCAAGTGCCTGTGAATCATACTGACACTCAGTTCCAATATGTTCCCTACGGTTTTTTGAGTTAAAAAGAGAATGCAGAGGTAGAAGCCAACGCCTACTTTATGACGGGCTGTCACTCAGAAAGACAGGCTCTGCAGAACCAAGCAACAGGAAAGGATGTGGTCAGATGCACAAGCTACCAAGTGCAACTTCTACCAAGCCCCTGTTTAAGCTCATGCTTCCAAACAGTACACAGCATCTGACTCCCTGCACCACCTCGACACAGTGACTTTAAACCCGGTTCACTTAACTCATTGCCCTTGCTCTGGGGCAACTAAAAAAGGAAAATGAAATGCACTCCTACAGGAGCTCAGAAACAGAGGGCTCCCAACCTAGAATGAAACTTTACAGTCACCCTCGGATGCTCCCGGCCCACCCTGACACTTCCTGTAACCAGACACTCTGTCACAGTTCTGTGCCCCCAAAAAGAAAGGGGAACCTTTCACTTCATTGCTCAAACAATTAAGTCCTTGCGTTTAAAGTCAACTGCGCTATCTACACCACGTGGATGACAGTCATTCAATTCCAAATTTCCTTCATCAAACACACTGCCAACACACTGCCCTGGAGGGCTTCAGACACGGTGAATGTCGAAAAAGCGCCTTAATGCTGAGATACCAGTGTCTCCACCTGCAGAGAATCCCTCCCTTGAAGCCTTACATTTCATTTCTACAATTTTAAACTTTCTAAAGCTTCATTCTTTCCGACCTCCCCGAAGAAGGCAACTTACATTTGCAACATGATTTGGTTCAAAAAGATGCCGTCCACTAACTCCATGTACATACTCAGGTTGTCCTGGTTGCCGCTTCCGATCAGGCCAAAAGTTTTCACCTGCGGTTGGGGGGCGAGGAGAGAAAGGCAGGAAGTCACGCCCCCGCACAAACGGTCTAACGCCCTCCTGGGGGCACAAGTGGCTCACCCAAGCCCACCCTCTCCCAGGGCCTCGCTCCCTTCCCCGCGCTTGGCAACAGCTGTGAGACGGGGAGGAAAAAACTTCTCGCCACTTTTTCCCCAGCGTTGCAGAGCGGGAAAATAATAAAGAGGTCTTTTCAATAAATTTCTCACGTCTCAGATCCATTGGAAATCAGGGTGCCCACCCCAGCCTGCTCGCGTTCCCCCTCGGCGCCCCCCATTCCCCACCCGTCATAGCCACGCACCGGGTGGTCTCAGGGGTTCAGAAACTACGCGAGGATGTTCTTGGGGAGGGAGATCCTTTTGGGGAGTGACCAGCCCTGGGAGCCGGAGTGATCACTCGGCCCCTGTCGGCCCCAGAGCCGCCAGACAGCGCCCGGGGGGGAACAGGTGTACCAGCTCGGGCCCTGGCCCGGCCGGGTCCTGCGCGGGGTGCACACGGGGGCGGCCGCTCCAGAGTTGGAAAGCCTCCGGACGCCGGCCACCTGCTGCGTCCCCCGCGTCCCGGGGACCAGCCGGGGCTCTGGCCAGGTCGGGTCTGCGGCGCCCCCAGCCCAG